CTTCCCTCTCTCCTCCTTTCCAGCTTTTACCTTTTAATATAAAACTACCACCTTTGATAAAGCCTTAGCCCATTGTCCCCTTGCCATCATGAAGCTTTGTCCTCACAAAGATGCCAATTGCTTCAGAAATTATCTCAAAGCTAAGGTAACTTCTTGTTACCAAGAGTTATGGTAACAAGAAAATCAAGATAACACAAAGGAGGTAAAAGCTGGCCAAATTCGGATTTCAGAGCTGTGGTAACATGCTGGATTGGTTGGATAGGCAATACTTGTCCAATGGAGCTCAAATTTGGATATGTTGTAGTTAACATCCATTGGAACAAGTCTCATGAAGATCGTGACCTCATCCGAGCACCAGAGCATGCTGATCCCAGGCCAAGAAGTTGACCTACGAAAATGAACAAAAACAAAGTTTATAACCAATAATGCACTTTTAGCTAATTTTCATTCCAACCAAGGTAAAATCTAAGAAAACACAAAAAGGAAGTAAAAAGCTATAAAATGTCAAGAACTAACTCAAAATAGTGGGTGAATAACATGAAAAATCATGTGTAAAAATGAACCGAACAAGCAGTTGTGAAAATCTTACGAATCTGCCACCCAGCATTTATAAGTTGGAACATCTAAACCAAATTTTTCTCCAAGGAAGTCGAAAGCTTGTTACATTTCCAAATAAAGTGAAGTCTGAAGTTTTGGGGAGTGCAGTATCACATCCTTTAGCGCTTCCCAGTCTTGAGGAATTCATTTTGGAAGGGAGCAATTTATCAGAATTTAATTTCCTCTGGACTCTTGATTGTGTGTCTACATTGAGCATGCTTGATCTAACACGATGTGATTTCCTTGTAAGTATTCCCGAAAGCATTACGAAATTTCTCAATTTGCGGGATCTTTACTTGCATGGCTGCAAGAGGCTTCGAGATATTCCGGAACTTCCACCAAAAATAGTAAAGTTAGAGGCAAGTGATTGCGTATCATTGGAAAGGTTTTCATCATTGTCCAACATTCTGAAAGGTAAAAAAGACTCACAAATGATTGAGTTGGTGGACTTGTGTAATTGCCAGAGACTGTGCGACAATCTGGCTCGTGACCTCACGAAGAAGCAAAACATTTTAGCAAAGGAGCAGATCACTCTCTTCTTTGATCACCTTCTGTCTTCACGGAAACATGGATTTCAGGTTGTATTTCCAGCAAGTTTTGAAGCTCTCTCGACGTTGTTCAGGTGTCATAAGGATGTGAAGGAGCATGATGAATCATGTGAACTTTTGATTGAAATGCCCCCAAACTTCAAATGCCAGAACCAAGGATTGGCTCTATACGCTGCTCTTGAAAACCCGCAAAATGAAAGACGACGTTACAATGGTTTTCTAACAAAAATTTCCGTCAATCAACCAGGAGTGGTACCTCATTTTATTCAGTTCGATTACCATTTCAGAAAGATAGGGTCAGGTCATGTGTGGCTGTGCTATATTCGATTCAGAGAAATGTTTTACCGGGATGATCAGATTACCTGGCCTCAGTCGCCTTTTGCGTGTCGAGTTAATTTTCTGAAATTGACACTAGATTCGCAGCGTTTTAAAAGCTTTGGGATCCACCTGGTAATGACACAGGATGATGAAGACCTGTCTATATTTACGGAAGATGGTGAGTCTGAATCCAATGACTTGGAAGATGCTAATGAGAGGTTTGATGGAGATAATTGTATTGATCTATGTGAAGATGAGCAAGACTCGGAACGTGACTACTTCAGCTGTGAAGATAATGAAGATGGCTACTTTTACTGAAGATGATGATGAAGATGGCTGCTTTCTAGTCTCTCTCTTTTTCTCTCTGCTAAAACATGAGAAGTTAGAATATGAAAATATAAGAGAATATGAAAATGAGAGAAGATAATTTTCTGGGTTTTCAACTTGTTTGATTCTATTACTTACAACATATTTATACAAGTCCTACAACTACAAACAAGAAAACAAGGTTTCCATGAAACAAGGAAACAATGTTTCCATAAAACAAGGAAACAATGTTCCCATAAAACAAGGAAACATAGCTTTAGCTAACACTCCCCCTCAAGTTGGTGCATAGATGTCATCAATGACCAACTTGCCAAGAGAGAGACTGTCGTTATTAATATTTCCGCATCGAGCTTCTTCTTAATAGAATGTCGATCCACTTCAACATGCCCCCTCACGTGGAATCACCATATAGTGGGCCACACGTGGAGCTAAGGCCACATCGAAGTTAATCATTTAGGTCTGTCAGTGGCAACACCAAATCCAAGTGCGGCCGGTTGGTCAGTAGATAACAGAAACCATAGGAACAAGGCAAAGGCAAAGCAAAGCAAAGAACACAGAAACCTGTGAACACGACAAGGACACAGAAACCCTGTGAACACGGCAAAGGACACAGAAACCCTGTGAACACGGCAAAGGACACAGAAACCCTGTGAACACGGCAAGGACACAAAAACTTTGGGAACACGGCAAAGGACACAGAAACTTTGTGAACATGGCAAAGGACACAGAAACCCTGTGAACACGGCAAGGACACAGAAACCCTGTGAACACGGCAAGGACACAGAAACCCTGTGAACAAGGCAAGGACACAGAAACCTTGTGAAGGCATGAGCAATAATATTGGCACCATAACACGCAGGAGCAACAATATTGGTACCAACAAGAGCAATATAAGGCACTGGCACCAACAAGAGTAATACAAGGCATTGGCACCAGCAAGAGCAACAATACTGTCCCCAACAAGAGACATAACAGGCAGAAGCAACAACACTGGCAGTAGCAAGAGTCATAACAGGCAGGAGCAACAACAGTGTCCCCAACAAGAGACTTAACAGGCAGGAGCAACAATACTGTCCCCAGCAAGAGACATAACAGGCAGGAGAAATAACATTGTCCCCAGCAAGAGACATAACAGGCAGAAGCAACAACACTGGCCAGCAGCAAGAGTCATAACAGGCATGAGCAACAACATTGTCCCCAGCAAGAGACATAACAGCCAGGAGCAAAAATACTGTCCCCAGCAAGAGACATAACAAGCATCATCAACAGTAATCAACACTGTCCGCAGCAAGAGCAACACAAGGCACTGGCACCAGCAAGACAAGGCAGGGCAAACAACTATGGTAGCAACAACATCATAGACAACTTCTCTTCAGTCCCCCTCTCCCCCTGAAGAGAAGGGGTCGATGGAGCCATATGATCAGTGGTACTTGAGAAACATGCACGAACAATAAGCCATGGCAGATAGGTAGGTGAATTGCAGCGGAATATATGAGAATTGCAGCAGCAGTGTCACTCCCCCTCAAATCCGACGATGTGTGAGAGTTGAGATTTGGAGAAAGTAACACCCAAATAAGTAGAGAGTAGAAAGACACAGGTGTTTCGGGCAGACACGAGTGAAGAGAAGATAACAACAACAAAAAACAAAATAAATAAATGAAAAGATGAGATGACCCACGGGTGTTTTGGGCAGAGCATGACATAGGATCTTGAATACAAGGTGAAACAAATGGAAGACAGAGTGCACGTGGAGATGAGAACAAAGTCTGAGAAAGAAAATTGTGGCCTTCAATAACATAAGGAACATAAAGGATGAACACAATTTGAACAAATAAAAAGGAAGTGAAACACATTATCAAATGGGAAAAGGCCATACATGCGTGCACAGAGAGAGAGCATACGATTAAGCATGAGAGGAAAATAAATAGGAGCATGCGGTTAAGCATATAAGGGAGCCAACATAGAAAAAAAGATGATAAAAGATACCAGTGGAAAAATAGACAGAGAAGGAAAAAAAAAAGGCCGTGAGGCAAACAGGAAAAAGAAGAAGAGCACAAGAGATAGCACTTTGTTGGTGAGAAAAGAAACCATAAAAAAGAATAAGAATAAGAAAACACAAGATGTTGTCGTGAGAGAGAAGTCATATTGAAGAGGAGAAAAAGGTAGACAAGGTGAAAAAAAGAAAAACACCCTCGGGCCAATAAGTTGGCAAAAGCAAATAAAATCAATAAAGAAAAGAAGATCAAATTGGAAGAAGAGAGGATAAGAAAAAAAAAATAATTAAAAGGAGCAACAACATAAATTGGGAGAAGATAGGATAAAAAATAATTAAAGGGAGCAACCATCATGTGGCTAGGTTGTTGAAAAAGGAGAAAAAATAAAATAAAATAAAACAAATGAGAGACCCACCGAAAAAAGAAATAGGAGTTGGGGTTTTTTTTTGGACGAAAAGAAATAGGAGTTGGGTAGTGGAGAGTGAATAAAGAGAAACAGCGTGGGAAAAATAAAGAAGAGAAATAGAAGGGTGCCAGGAGCACATGACAGGGAAGGACTAACAAATATTAAAAAGTAAGGTAAAGACAAAACATGACCATAAAGAAAAAGGAAGAAAGAAAAATTGTGCCTGACAAAAAAGTTGTCTGATAAGAAAAAAGAAGGAAAACTTTGAAAAGGTTGCTCAAGTGAGCAATAAGAGAACGGGTTTTCGTGGGTGATGAGCTTGAGAAGGGGACTGAGTTTGGGAAGAAATGGTGAGATATTTGAGATGGACAGAGAGATGG